CTTGCTTCGACACTCGCGCCACCAATGCCCGACCTTCTTGCAATACCGGCATGCTCCTTCCCGAGCATGACCATGGTTGTTGTTGTTGTTGGCGTGTCCTCCATGTGAGGAGCTCGCGCTTCCACTTTCATGCCCACGGTCATTCCGTGGCTTGGTGTAGACAACGCCCTTCTTCGCACCGCGCGTGAATTGAGCCGAACTCGTTGAATCGCCTTTCAAGTTGATCCACCGCATCTCCTCATTGATGAGGCGCGTCGTCACCCCCTCCTTGGTCCACGTCGCTTGCGTACCGTCAAGGGTGGTGATGACGGTTGACCATTCCTCTCCGAGCCCTCCGAGAAGCGTCATGATCCAATCCTTCTTGTCCACGTCCGCTTCAAGCTCCACCATTTGTTCGCCAAGCCCCTCAACGCGGTTGACATACGCGTGCATGTGTTTGCCCTCCTTGATGCGCACGGTGAAGAAGTTCCTCCTCGCTTGCAACTTGCCGTGGAGAGACTTCGTCAAGTGGATGTTCTCGAGGCGCCTCCAAGCTTCACGTGTAGCTCCTTCAAGGTCGATGCACGAGCTCACCACCGGTACGAGTTGAAGACCGAGCTTCAACACGAGAAACGAGAACGCCTTCTTGTCCTTCTTCACCCATGCTCCATGCTCCGTTGTCGAGGCGCTTGAAGGCTTCACTTTGGATCCGTCGAAGAAGCCCCAGAGCTCACGCTCCATCATGTGCACCTTCAACTTGAAGCGCCATGATGCATAGTGCTCGCCATTGAACAATGGCACCGCACTCATGTTGACGATCGTCGTAGATGCGGAGTAGAACTCATTGGGGATAGGACGAAGGGGGACATCAGAGGTCTATGAGGAAGTCAAAGACATGGCAATGATAAGACCTAGGCGTAAAGCGTTTGAGAACTCCTTAAGCTCTGAAACCATGTAGGAAAACCGTCTGCGTCGTGAACGGTATACTTGATGAAAATATTCTTGTAAGCTCTTTCTGGATAGGTCTCTGATTGACAAATCCGTAGCAACAAAGAACGCCAAGAACGGCCAAGTATTGAGAACGTAATCGTTGATAATAAGGGGCTGGGTACACAATTCCAGAGAGGATGCACTTCTCAATTACGAGTGAGTTTTTATACTCTTTAAGATAGAAATCAAGAAACTACCTATAGTCGAACCGCACTTGTAACCGAGCCGCGTGCAATTTCGTAACCCACCCCATTGCAAAATTAACGGTGGAATTTCGGAAAGGAGTTACGTCCTTTTCCGTTTACATTTCCGTCCATGCACACAAGTTGCAATTACAATGGGTCGGACCAATTGTATCGCACCATGTGTTTGCATTTTGTTTGGTTCTTTCCGCCCACTTGTAAAACACTCTCGTCACTTTTGTCTCTTGCTACCACCCAAGTGTAATCCTTGACTTGGGTGCACCGTCACTCTTCTGCCCAAACTATCGCCACCCAACCCAACTTGACTAGGTTGGAGGGAAGTGTCGTGGGGACCACTTGTCCCCAACCGACCTCCAACAGATCAAAGAGGAGAGCAGGCGAGGGCTGAGAGGGCGGGGTGGACGGTGAAGGAGATCGAGAGGATTCGGAACCCCAACGCACGCGATGGGAGTTATAACGAATGGAACTACAGGTCTGTGTGCTTATATTGAGTGAAGCTATGTGTGTGTGTGTGTGTGTGTGTGTGTGTGTGTGTGTGTGTGTGTGTGTGTGTGTGTGTGTGTGTGTGTGTGTGTGTGTGTGTGTGTGTGTGTGTGTGTGTGTGTGTGTGTGTGTGTGTGTGTGTGTGTGTGTGTGTGTGTGTGTGTGTGTGTGTGTGTGTGTGTGTGTGTGTGTGTGTGTGTGTGTGTGTGTGTGTGTGTGTGTGTGTGTGTGTGTGTGTGTGTGTGTGTGTGTGTGTGTGTGTGTGTGTGTGTGTGTGTGTGTGTGTGTGTGTGTGTGTGTGTGTGTGTGTGTGTGTGTGTGTGTGTGTGTGTGTGTGTGTGTGTGTGTGTGTGTGTGTGTGTGTGTGTGTGTGTGTGTGTGTGTGTGTGTGTGTGTGTGTGTGTGTGTGTGTGTGTGTGTGTGTGTGTGTGTGTGTGTGTGTGTGTGTGTGTGTGTGTGTGTGTGTGTGTGTGTGTGTGTGTGTGTGTGTGTGTGTGTGTGTGTGTGTGTGTGTGTGTGTGTGTGTGTGTGTGTGTGTGTGTGTGTGTGTGTGTGTGTGTGTGTGTGTGTGTGTGTGTGTGTGTGTGTGTGTGTGTGTGTGTGTGTGTGTGTGTGTGTGTGTGTGTGTGTGTGTGTGTGTGTGTGTGTGTGTGTGTGTGTGTGTGTGTGTGTGTGTGTGTGTGTGTGTGTGTGTGTTGTGTGTGTGTGTGTGTGTGTGTGTGTGTGTGTGTGTGTGTGTGTGTGTGTGTGTGTGTGTGTGTGTGTGTGTGTGTGTGTGTGTGTGTGTGTGTGTGTGTGTGTGTGTGTGTGTGTGTGTGTGTGTGTGTGTGTGTGTGTGTGTGTGTGTGTGTGTGTGTGTGTGTGTGTGTGTGTGTGTGTGTGTGTGTGTGTGTGTGTGTGTGTGTGTGTGTGTGTGTGTGTGTGTGTGTGTGTGTGTGTGTGTGTGTGTGTGTGTGTGTGTGTGTGTGTGTGTGTGTGTGTGTGTGTGTGTGTGTGTGTGTGTGTGTGTGTGTGTGTGTGTGTGTGTGTGTGTGTGTGTGTGTGTGTGTGTGTGTGTGTGTGTGTGGTGTGTGTGTGTGTGTGTGTGTGTGTGTGTGTGTGTGTGTGTGTGTGTGTGTGTGTGTGTGTGTGTGTGTGTGTGTGTGTGTGTGTGTGTGTGTGTGTGTGTGTGTGTGTGTGTGTGTGTGTGTGTGTGTGCGTGTGTGTGTGTGTGTGTGTGTTGCCTATTAATATGTTCATTCATCCCATCGATTCTGCTACTACAAACTGTCGCAGTCTTTGTTGGGTTTATTAACTCAATCTGACATCTGTTGACTCGCTTTGACTTATCCACTCCTCTTGACCTCACCCGCCCCCACCGCCTCCAGCAAGCTGCGGCTGTGGCAGGAGATGGAGTACGGCAAGCTGCTCCTCATTGACTCTCATTGACTTCATTGATCCCCTACGCCCCCCTCCCCCCTACCAGCAAGCTGCGGCTGTGGCAGCAGGCGGAGTATGCCAAGCTGGTCTTCATTGACTCGGACCTGCTCCTCTTGACCAGCGTTGACTTTCTCTTCTCCTACCCCGAGATCTCCGCCCGCGGAAACGACGGCTCAGATTTCAACTCGGGCATGATAGTCCTGGAGCCGTCGGATTGCACATTTGACATGCTGATGGAGAATCTGGGGAGAGTGCGATCAGCCAATGGAGGGGACCAGGTGAGACCATGTGTGATGTGATGTGATGTGATGGGATGTGATGTGATGTGATGTGATGTGATGTGATGTGATGTGATGTGATGTGATGTGATGTGATGTGATGTGATGTGATGTGATGTGATGTGATGTGATGTGATGTGATGTGATGGGATGCGATGCGATGCGATGCGATGTGATGTGATGTGATGTGATGTGATGTGATGTGATGTGATGTGATGTGATGTGATGTGATGTGATGCGATGCGATGCGATGCGATGTGATTTGATGTTATGTGATGTGATGTGATGTGATGGGATGGGATGGGATGCGATGCGATGCGATGCGATGCGATGTGATGCGATGTGATGCGATGCGATGTGATGTGATGTGATGTGATGTGATGTGATGTGATGTGATGTGATGTGATGTGATGTGATGTGATGTGATGTGATGTGGTGTGATGTGATGTGATGTGACTTCCTATCACCTTCTTGCTCGGGAGGTCGCAAGTGCAGTCCAAACGGAACAAATAATATGTTTCGGATCGATCGCCTGTAGTTAATTTCCTCTCTTACGCCGCGTGCACTCTCCTTCTCCATCCCTTTCCTTAAAACCACATGGTTCCATTCAACCTCCTGTCACCTTTTATATCTAGCTCACCACTTCTCCTCTCCCCCCCACTATCACTTTCCCTCTTCCCTTTCCCACCTTCCCTCCCCCCTGCCAAGGGCTTCTTGAACAACGTTTTCACCTGGTGGCACCGCTTACCAGAGTCCATAAACACCCTCAAACCTGTCTGGACCTCTGACCCTGTAAAGAAACAAGCTATCATCGACATGAAGAGCAGGTGGTTCTCACAAGACCCTTCGGAAATCCACGCTATACACTACCTTGGCATGAAGCCATGGTGGTGTTACCGCGAATTTGACTGTAACGTGCTGATACCCGATTTCGTCGACTTCGCTAATGAGGCGGCTCATAATAGGTGGTGGAGTGTACATGACTCGCTGCCACAGCCACTGAAGCAATTCTGCTGGATTACAAGTGAAGCAGAGGATAAGCTGACACAGCTGATTGAACAATCCAAGCCAAATCAGGCGCTTTAATTAACATAATTTATTAGGTTAGATTCCGACTATGCATTGTACCGTACATGTGTCAAGTGCACTTGTGCTAGGTAGTATGTAGTCTTCAGAAGGCGCAATTTCCCATCAGGTAGGCATCACTCCGCCTTTGCAAGGTAGCCGAACAAGTTAGTGCTTTGTATTTTAATATGATAGAAGGTGTATCAAGATATTATAGCTGGTTATGACATGAACTTAACAACAGGTGATACGTAGCTCAATAGTACCGGTGTTACTACTAGTGGCACATCGGAACACTGTGCTGGGTGTCATTTTTTAGCTGACGACAACAACAGTGCGCACACAGAAACTTGTGGCCAAGTATAAGTATGGTGAAACTGAACGCCTTGAATTGGTGCTAGATCAGCTCACCCCCTTCATCAGGGAACGTCAGCATCAGACTGAGCCTGTCCCCACCACTGCCCGACATCCCATGCGGCCCTGCTGCCCACCCTCCACACACCCCCCCATGCTGCCGAGTATGGTGCAAGCCTTGAATTGGTGCTGGATCAGCTCAACCCCTTTTCATCAGGGAACGTCACCATCAGACTGCGCCCATCCCCACCACTGCTCGACATCCCATGCTGCCACCCCACCCTGCTGCTTCTGCTACCATCTGTCTACCCCCCTTTCCCTCTCCCTCCCACCCAATCCCCATCCTCTTCTCCCCTTTCATCTGGGATTCACCTCACACCGCGTAACACTCACACTGAACGTCACTGTCGGACTCAACACATTACCACCACTCATGCAGGGTGTCCCGTCCACCCCTCCCAACTGACCCCTGCCTTCGGTCATCGAGGATTCACGTCTCTTTTATGTGCACTCCCACTGAAAGTCACCGTCAGTCCGAACCCTCCCTCCCCTCCCTCCCTCCCTCCCTCCCCTAGCTTCCCCTTCCTTTCCCTCCTGTTCTCCCCTTCCCTTTCACTGGGGATTCACGTCTCGTTTATGAACACTCCCACTGAACATGACCGTCGGACTCAACCCATCGCCACCACTCATAAGAAGGTGTCCCATCCACCCATCCTAACTGAACCCTACCCTTTCACCGGGGATTCACATCTCTTTTATGCACACTCCCACTGAACGTCACATTCGGACTCAACCCATCCCCACCACTGCTCGACGTCCCACCCTTCCCTCCTTGCAGCTTCATCCGCTCCTCATACCACGAAACCTCCTCCTCCTCGTCCTCCTCACCCCAATCCTCCCTTGCAGCCCCTCTCGTCGCTGCAGCAGCAATTTCATTCCAGAATTTATCACTGGTTTGGGACTTAGTCGCACACGCAGGCTCCTCCTCCCAATTGTACCCTTCGCCGTTGTCACGCCTGCTACTATCACCACCAGCACCAGCACCACCAGCACCAGCACCAGCACCAGCACCAGCACCACCACCAGCACCACCAGCGCCAGCAGCACGAGAAGCAGAAACCCGGTTCAACCGCCTCTTAATCCCTTCCAACTCCTTCAAAACCTGCTGCATGTCGGGTCGGTTCTGAACCTGCTTCAAGCTGCACCGCATTGCCAGCCGCACAAACCACTCAAACGTCTCCTCCAGTGCCTCGCTTCCACACGTCTCCTCCAATGCCCCTCCCTCACTCATCCCCACCTCTCCACCTCCCCCACCTCCTCCTCCCCCTTCCCCTCCGCCTTCTGTTCCCCCTTCTCCTCCACCTCCTCCTCCACCTCCTCTCCCCCCTGCTCCTCCCCCCTCACCCCTTTGCTGCCCCTCACACATGGCTTTCAATACCGGGTCCATAACACTGTTCACGCCGCCCTCGTTGGTAACCCTATCGATCACGATCCTTCTTATGTGCTCCCCGTTGGTCACCGGGCGAAGACCAGTGGCAAGCTCTAGCAGCACGATTCCAAAGCTGTAGACGTCGCTCTTCTCAGTCAGAAGGTCACATTGGAAGTACTGAGGGTCCAAGTAACCCTGGGGAAAAACAGACAAGTCAAAGAGGGAGAGGAGAATGAGAGGAGACCAGTGGCGAGCTCTAGCAGCACGATGCCGAAGCTATAGACGTCACTCTTCTCTGTGAGTAGATCACACTGGAAATACTGAGGGTCCAAGTAACTGTGGGGAAAGATAGAAAGGGGACGAGACGAGAGGGGAGACGAGCATGAGAAGTGCCGGAGACCGGTGGCGAGCTCTAGCAGCACGATGCCAAAGCTGTAGACGTTGCTCTTCTCCATGGGTAAATCACACTGGAAATACTGCGGATCCAAATAGCCCGGGGGAGGGTAACGGAAATGACAGGAAGAGGGGGGGAAGAGCATGAGTGGCGTAGTCCGGTGGCTATCTCTAGCAGCACGATGCCGAAGCTGTGCACGTCGTTCTTTTCTGTGAGTAAATCGCACTGGAAAGACTGTGGGTCCAAATAGCCCTGTGGGAAGGAAAGGGGTGGGTGGGGGGATGGAAAGAGAGAGGATAAAGAGAGCAGCCATATCGATTGGCGATATCGAAAGTGGGGGGTCTACTTTTGAGCAGCCATATCGATCGCCTCAAAAGTAGACCCCTCTCCATCCGCCTCCTCAAACACAGCCTTGGAAATACAATCGCTGATCCCTAACCCGAGCCATGCACTCACCATTTCTCCCTACACTCCTCACTCCCTCCACCCTCCACTCACCACCGTTCCTTTCACTTGTGTCTCCAGCTTCCCCCCTCTCTCCGCCTCCTCTGGAACAGCTTTGGAGATTCCAAAGTCTGACACCTTGGCCTCGAGGTCTGCTGTGATCAGGATGTTGGCCGTCTGGTGGGGGGAGGGGGGATGGGGAGAGGGATGGGAAAGTGGGACAGAGGGCAAGGGAGGGGGGGGGGGGGGGGGAGGGATGAGGAAGGGGAGAGGGAAGGAGTCACGGGGGACGTGTATGCGTTCAGCCTTGGAGACTCCAAATTCAGACACCTTGGCCTCGAGGCCTTCTGTGATCAGGATGTTGGCCGTCTGGTGGGGGGAGGGGGAGGGGGGGAAGAGGGGGTGGGTGGGGGGGAGGGGAGGGGAGAAGAGGGGAAAGGGCCAGGGGGCTGACTTTTGAGTCGACTCAAAAGAGGGGAGGGGAGAAGAGGGGAAAGGGCCAGGGGGCAGTGGAGGATGATGGATGCTGGGCGGCTTGGTCTGACGGTGCAGGTAGGCGAACCCACTGGCCACTAAACACACAGGCAATGCAAGCATGCACGCCCACACATGTACACGTATGCATCCATGTATGTATGTACGGTATGTATGTATGTATGTATGTATGTATGTATGTATGTATGTATGTATGTATGTATGTATGTATGTATGTATGTATGTATGTATGTATGTATGTATGTATGTATGTATGTATGTATGTATGTATGTATGTATGTATGTATGTATGTATGTATGTATGTATGTATGTATGTATGTATGTATGTATGTATGTATGTATGTATGTATGTATGTATGTATGTATGTATGTATGTATGTATGTATGTATGTATGTATGTATGTATGTATGTATGTATGTATGTATGTATGTATGTATGTATGTATGTATGTATGTATGTATGTATGTATGTATGTATGTATGTATGTATGTATGTATGAATGTATGTATGTATGTATGTATGTATGTATGGATGTATGTATGCATGCATGCATGCATGCATGTATGTTGGCACAGCACACACACCTTCACATCCCGGTGTATGATGGGCGGCTTGATCTGATGGTGCAGGTACGCAAACCCACTGGCCGCTCCACACACGATGTAAGCTTGCACACACATGCACACACATGCACACACATGCACACATATAAGCATGCATGCATGTTCCAGCACAAACAGACCCTTCCTCCCTACCTTCACATCACGGTGGATGATGGGCGGCTTGATCTGATGATGCAGGTATGCAAACCCATTGGCTGCACCACAGGCGATGTTGACCCGTTGCCGCCACGTCAACTGGTGCTTTGAGTCGGCTGGTGGGTGCAAACAATCGTGGGAGGGGAGGGAGGGAAGCAGACGGAAGGGAAGAATGGGGGGTCTTGAGGTGCCTAAGAAGTGGGTGCTTCGAGCTGGATGGTGGACGCAAAAGGGGGGCGAGGGGGTTATGGGATGGGGGGACTGTGGATCGCCTAAGCATCATATGCTTTGAGTTGGCTGGCGGGGGCACAAAAGGGGGGCCAAGAGAAGAGGGGGTGGGGAGAGGAAGGGCGGAGAGATGCTCCCCGCAACTTCACGGCATGCCAACCACAGCAAGTCCACTCACCTTTCGGCATGTCCTCAAGTGTCCCCCCCTCTGAATGAATTCATACACCAGAAGCTGGTCGCTTGAGGACACAAGGCGGATGAGAAGCTGCTCGCTCATCCGCCACCACACAAGCCCTCGCTCATTCGCCTCCACACAAAGCCCTTCAGTGCCACCCAAAGGTCACCAGGGGGCATCAACGCTACACCAGACTTCACTTACATGCCGCCCTGCTACATCCACTCCCCCTCAATACACACCTCTCAGCATGTCCTCAAGCGTGCCCCTCTCAAAGAACTCATACACCACCAGCTGCTCGCCCGCCTCCACACACAAGCAGGTGAGCGCACTCACCATCAGGTGGCATCATTACACTCCCCCCCTTACTCCCCCACTCCCCCTTCCCCCTCAATACCTCACCTCTCAGCATGTCTTCCAGAATCCCCCTCTCAATGAATTCATACACCAGCAGTTGCTCCACACACAAGCGAGTGAGCGCACACACCATCACGAGGCTGCATCCCCCCCAGCCCTACTCCCCCACTCCCCCTTGCCCCTCCCCACTCACCTCTCAGCATGTCTTCCAACGTGCCCCTCTCGATGAATTCATAAACCAGCAGTTGCTCGCCCGCCTCCACACAGAACCCTTTCAGAGCCACCAGGTTGCGATGGCGCACGGCTGACAGCAGCTGTATTTCATTGCGGAACTCCGTGCCGCATAGCTGGGGGAGGGAATGTGAGAGGGGGCAAGGGGGGCATGGGAGGCATGGGAGGGACGGAGAGTGGGAGAGGCAGAGAGGCCCTTGAAAGCCACGGGGCTGCGGTGGCGCACGGCTGAGAGCAGCTGAATCTCGTTGCGGAACTCCGTGCCACATAGCTGGTGTGTGGGTGGGTGGGTGGGTGGGTGGGTGGGTGGGTGGGTGGGTGGGTGGGTGGGTGGGTGGGTGGGGCATCTGTAGGGAGGGGAGTGGGGGAGTGGGAGAGTGGGAGTTTAGGGGAGATGGTGACTTGGCGAGACACAGAAGCCCTTGGGAGTTGCCATGTTGCCATGTCGCCATGTTGCCATGTCACCATGTTGCCATGTTGCCATGTTGCCATGTTGCCATGTCGCCATGTCACCATGTTGCCATGTTGCCATGTCACCATGTTGCCATGTTGCCATGTCACCATGTTGCCATGTTGCCATGTCACCATGTTGCCATGTCACCATGTTGCCATGTTGCCATGTCACCATGTTGCCATGTTGCCATGTCACCATGTTGCCATGTTGCCATGTCACCATGTTGCCATGTTGCCATGTCACCATGTTGCCATGTCGCCATGTCGCCATGTTGTCATGTTGCCATGTTGCCATGTCGCCATGTCGCCATGTTGCCATGGCAAGGGACGTGAGCGTGGATGGGGGACAGGGGCAAGGGGGACAAGTTAATCGTGCTAGGAAGCCTCAGAGCAAGAATCTCATCATGATCCTCTGTCTTTTGAGGGGTGCGCCTCAAAAGTGGCCTCAGCGCAAGAATCTCATCATGATCCTCTGTCCCTCACAGTGGTGGGGCTGGGGAATGGGGGAGACAACAACTGATGCAAACTTGTGTCCACACCTGAAGATCCACCTGAATATTCACCTGAAGGACCACCTGAAGGGACCATTCTGAAGTTCCACCTGGGAGTGTTCCTGGCGTACCTTCACATGCCCCTTGGCTCGTTTCACTGCCACTACATCCCCTGATTCCAGCACTCCTCGGTACACCTGAGAGTGGTTCAGACACGGGGAGAAAAGGGAGACGAGATGAAGGCTGGGCATTGCTGTGCTACTCCCCCCTCAGGGCAAGGGAAATTCATTACCATTATATTTTAGGAATCTCCCCCTGAGGCAAGGAATAGGCATGCAGAATGCGCTACCATAATCTTTGAGACGTTTTCAGGAGAAGCGTTACCATATCCGTCCCCTCACAGATATACCTGCCCCATATGCGCCGTCCCCTCACAGATATACCTGCCCTTCATGCGCCACCCCCTCACTGATACACCTAACCATATGCGCCCTCTCCCTGATATGTACTTGCTGCTCAAATACACCTGCCCCACATCGCACCTGTCCATATCCGCCCTACCCTTCTTCGACCTTCCATCTGTCTGCTTCTTCCCATATGCGCCCTCCCCCTTCCCCCCACGGATATACCTGCCCCACATCGCACCTGTCCGTATCCGCCCTCCCCCAGCAGCGTCTTGAACCCCTGGGTGGCATCGGCTATCTCCTTAAGTTTGCACCGGTGCACCCCCAGAGCCTGCAGCCCCTCGATCGCCTTGTAGTCCTCCGAGCTCCACAGGTCTGGGGAAGGGTGGGGAGGGGTGGAGATGGGTGGGGATGGGGGGGGAGGGGTGGAGATGGGTGGGGATGGGTGGACAGCACACGATTTGCTTCAGCTTGAGCTTGCACCAGTGCACACCCAGCATCTGCAGCCCCTCGATCGCCCTGTAGTCCTCCACAGGTCTGATATTGCGGAGAGCACAGAGGTGGAAGAGGTGGAGAGGGGTGAAGAAGGGTGGGGAGGAGTGGGGAGGGGTGGGGAGGAGTGGGGAGGGGTGGGGAGGAGTAGGGAGGGATGCGAAGCACACTTTGCTTCAGCTTGAGCTTGAACGGCGCACTCCCAGCACCTGCAGCCCTTCTACAGCCTTGTAGTCCTCTGGACCCCACGGGTCTGATGCTGATGTTGCAGGAGAGCACAGAGGTGGAAAGCGGTGGGGACGGGTGAGGAGGGATGGGGAGGGGTGGTCATGGGTGGATTAGCACACGTCGTCTCAGCGTGCACGGGTGCAAATTCGACTAACCATGGTCTTGCTCCTCTGCAGCAGCAGTGTGGCAGCCACACCAGCGGCAGCAGAGAAGCAGAGGGTATAAATAAACCAGCTCATCTTTGTTCCCGTTCCTCTAAAGAAGTAACCTCAGAGCAGCAGCAGAGGATATAAAACGGCTCACCTTTGTTTCTGTTCCTTAGCAGCAGCACCAGCCACACGAGTAGCAGAGCCATGAGAGGGAGCGCCACCACTCCCCCCCCCCACCACCACGATGCCCACGATCGCAGCAGAACAGCAGTGGACATAATGGATTGCACTCACCTCTGTTTCTGTTCCTCAGCAGCAGCACCACCCACACAAGCAGCAGAGCCATGGGAGCAAGAGTAGCAGAGCGGCAGCTGAGGATATAAACCGGCTCACCTCTGTTTCTGTTCCTTAGCAGCACCCACAGGAGCACCAGCAGGGCACTGGGGGCAAGAGCTGAGGATATAAACCGCAGCAGTAGTCATGCCCCCTCCCCCAGTGGGCGCCACTGCGGGGGTTGGTGGGGGAGCTGGGGGATGGAGGAGGGGGGGGGGGGGGGGGGGGGGAGAGGGGGAGAGGATAAGGGGGCGGACGGGGGGGTGTGGGGGTTAGGAGAGCAGAGAAATGAGAGCAAGCGCCACCACACCCCCCACCACGATACCCACGATCGCAGCAGTCGTCATTCCCCCTCCCCCAGTAGACGCGGCAGGGGGGCCAGGTGGGGAAGCTGGGGGTACAGATGGGGAGATAGACGGGGAGAAAGAAGGGGTTGGGGGGGGGAGAGTGCGCATGGAGGGAAAATGGGTGAGAGAGGGGGCATACGGAAAGAGCAGATTAAAAGGGGTGTGAGAGAGCAGAACAATGAAAGAGGGGGCCGCCACTTCCCCCACCACATAGCCAACAATAACAGCAGCGGTCATGCCGCTGCCCCCAGCGGTTATGCCGCTGCTCCCTCCTCTCACCTGCCCCATACAGACCTACCTATCCCACTTTCCACCTCCCCCAGGTCTCACCTGGGCCATACATGGCCTCGACAGTGTAAGGCCCGAAATCAGTTCCCAGCAGCACCTTGTGCCACACAAACGCCTCCCTTATCTCCTGCGCCTGCTGCCACTCGGAGCTGCTCGTGCTGCTGCTGCTGCTGCTGCTGCTGCTGCTGCTGCTGCTGCTGCTGCTGCTGCTGCTGCTGCTGCTGCTGCTGCTGCTGCTGCTGCTGCTGCTGCTGCTGCTGCTGCTGCTGCTGCTGCTGCTGCTGCTGCTGTTGCTGCTGCTGCTAGCAGGGGCGGCAGTGGCAGTGCTGCTGCTGCTGCTAGTGCTGCTGCTGCTGCTGCTGCTAGTGCTGCTGCTGCTGCTGCTGCCGTAGCTGCTGCTGCTGCTGCCGTAGCTGCTGCTGCTGTCGTAGCTGTTGCTGATCTTGCTGCTAGTGCTGCTGCTGCTGGCAAGCCTGCTGGTAGCAGCAGAAGAGGAGGAGGAGGAGGAGGAGGAGGAGGAGGAGGGAGGGGGGAAGAAGCGGATGGAGGTGCTGATGGTGGAAGGGGAGAGGATAGAACCGGTGACTGATACTATGGCGATCTGTTGGGGTTGGGATGGGCATGGGGGAGTGGGGGAGAGGGGGAAAGAGAAGGGAACGGATGTTGGTGGAATGGAAGGGGAGAGGATAGACCCGGTAACTGACACTATGACGATCTGTTGTTGGGGTTGGGATGGGGGGAGTGGGAACGGAGAGGGGGAAAGAGAAGGGAACGGATGTTGGTGGAAGGGGAGAGGATAGACCCACTGACTGACTGACACCATGGCGATCTGCCATTGGGGGGTTGGGATGGGGGGAGAGTGGGAGAAAGGGGGAGTGGGAGAGGAGGAGAGGGGAAAGAGGAAGAAGGGAACGGATGTTGGTGGAAGGGGAGAGGATAGACCCGCTGACTGACACTATGGCGATCTGTTGGGATTGGGATGGGGGGAGTGGGGGAGAATGGGTGAGGGGGACCCAGGGAATGGGGAAGAAACGATGGTGGTGCGGATGGTGGAAGAGGAGAGGATAGATCAACTGACTGACACTATGGCGATCTGTTGTGGGGTTTGGGATGGGGGGAATGCGGGGTGGGGGAGGAAGGGAGAGGAAGAAAATGGGGAACACACTTGCCACCAAACCCACCTGTCCACCAAGCTAGGGATGAGCAAATTCACGAACGCCTGTTCGGTTCGCCTCGAACAGGCTTTTTTTTTGCCTAATTCGTTTGGGGTGAACATGTTCGGTGTTCGGCCGAACACGTTCGCCGTTCGCCAATGACATTTGGCCGCGGGATGTCGAACACGAACACGTTCGTGTTCGACTTGGGGGGCCGGCGAACACCAAAATGTTCGCGTCAAAATTGGCCGCGACCAAATTTAGGTCGCGGTCGTTTTGAGTTTGAGCTCATTTCTGGAGGGCGAGGGTTTTAGGGCCGAGGGCGGAGTTATGGCTTCCGGCCAACATGGATCTGTAGAACGAGGTGCAGGCAGCGCTCAGGGCGGTACACCAGGTTCTCCACCACTACTTATGCAGGGGCGAGTAGGGGATGGACCAGCAGGAGCCGGCGGATGTTTCTTTCCGTAGCGGCGCCGACATCCCGTCACTCGTTCCGCTACGACGGCCCTCGACCCCCTCCTTCTAGGCATACGCTGTCGGAGAGTGGCAGTGAGGAGGATGAGGAGGAGAAGGATGAGGAGGATGAGGGGAGCGGGGATGACAGTGAGGCCGGGTGGGATCCCGAGAAGCATGGCGGTGGGGAAGGGGGGGATGATGATGAAGACCATGAGATGGATGGGTTGGAGCCAGAGGAGGTGGAGGAGGAGGTGGGAGAGGGTGGTGGAGGGGTGGCGACAGAGGCGGCCTCACAGCATGTGGGTGAAGGAGGAGGGAGCGTGGGGGTTAAGGTGGGGAGAAAGATTGCGTCCATTGCGGGGCCGAAGCGGAGGAAGAGGGCGAACAAGTTGAGGCCGCGAGCTTATCCCTGCACATTCACTAGGGAGCCCTTGGGCGAGGGTGCGATCGATCCGGAGTTCTAGACGAGGACGGAGGGTCCGAGAGTAGTAAGGGGACTGGCAAGGGTAATAAGAAACCGGGGTGGCAAGTACAGATGTTCGGGCCTAAAGGGTCAGACGAGAAGCGTCAGTGCAAGATTTGCATTGACAGAATTTCGTGGAAGCAATCCACAACAACACCGGCGAGCGTCACTTCGAGAGCTTCCACACAGCTCACATGCACGTGTGGTATCACCGTTTCATCACTCCAAGCGTTCAGTTGCCTGGCGAGACGTTTCCTCATGGGGGCTACAAGGGTGTGCCGGATGGCTACGTCGATAAGTGGCCGCATGCCAAGTGCTGGCCGAACCTCGCAAAGAAGAAAGGGAAGGGGGTAGGGGGAGCTCAGGGGTCAGGCGAGATCGAGCGGTTCATGACGACCAAGATGTCCACGGTGGAGCTACGGCAGGCAATCGCCAAGCTGGTGGTCACCTGCGACCTCCCCTTCCGCATCGTCGAGGTCGAGGCGGTGAGTGTCACATGCATGCTGTATGAGGGGATTGGGCAGTTTGTGGTGGACTGTTTCGACTTTCTATTGTACATGTGTGCCCATCCGTATCCAATCCATCCCCTTGCCATTGAAAACCCTCTCTCTCATTGTCTCCACCCCCCTCCAATTTCGGGAGCTATTGATCATGCTAAACTGCAAATGCGCGCAGAAGAACTTCATCCCCTCGCGCTGGACGGTATCCCGCGACACCGTGGTCTTTGCAGCAGCCGCTCTCCAGTCCGCCATTGCGGAGATGCTGGCGAAGGAGGGGGAGTTGGGGTGCAAGGTGTCGTTCACCATCGACATGTGGACGGCACCCAACAACAAGGCATGGCTAGTGGTGACGGGTCACTGGATAGACAAGGACTTCCAGTTGCGCACAGCGGTGCTTGAGTTCCGCGAGATGCTCGGGCGTCATGGGGCCAAGGAGATGGCGCAGGTGGTTGAGGAGACGGTTGTGCAGTGGAGGTTGGAAGGGCGTTGTCTTGGTTTCACGACAGACAACGCCTCTAGCAACATTGCCGCCTTCAGGCGGATGTCGGAGGAGGGTGGTGGTCACTGCTTCTTCAACTCGCGCAGGCACTTTCGGTAAGTGTGGGAGTGTGTGTGGGTTGGGTGTGTGGGAGTGTGGGTGTGTGTTTGCCTTTGTGGGTGTGTCGTTCCAGCATGAACAATATGTAGTTGTATGGGGGGGTGGGCTGGTGCGGTTCGAGTTGTAGGGTGTGTGGGGTCGGGTATGGGTTTGTGGCTCGCTCTGACCATGTGTCCTCACACTTCCCCTTCTCTTTGCCACTAATGTTGTGTTCCGCGCGCAGGTGCTTGGCACACGTGATAAACCTTGCAGTGCAGGCAGCACTGTCTGTGGATTCCATACGGAAGTTGTTGAAGATATTGAGAGAGATGGCGTCGTGGATTGGATTCTCAGCGCAGCGCTCGGGGTCTTTCTTGGGCCTACAGCGGACCTTGAACACGCAGGCCAACCCCGCCAAGCCGAAGCCGGCATTGAAGCTGGTGCAGGACAGTCCTACGCGCTGGGGGTCGACCCACGACATGGTCGAACGAGCGGGTGTTCTACAGAACCCCATCACTGTCTTCTTTGCCCAGACACAGGTATGACATGTGTTGTGTGTGGGTTTTATTGTGTGGTTATGTCAGGGTGTGGTGTGTTAACACTTCTACACAATACTGTTGGTCAAGCTTGAATGTTGCCGGATGCCAAAATCCTCCGTAACCCCAGTTTCCCTCTTACCTCCCCCCAAACCATACCCTCTACCCGATAGGGCTTGTCGAAGGCCGACAAGAAAAAGGTGGAGAGCATGCGCCTGACAGACGCAGACTGGGAGACTCTGCAAGCTGTGAAGACATTCCTCAGCCCATTCGCCAAAGTCTCAAAGGCAGTTGAGGGGGCGGCGTACCCGACAGTGGCGATGGTGGTGCCGTACTACAACGCCCTGATCGACGCTATGGAGTCGCGTCTTGCCAAGCCATCGACTTCGCTGCAGCCGATGATCATGGCGGCGTTGGGTCACTTGAAGAAGTACACCTACATCACCAGCAACGAGTACTGGATCGCCACTTTCCTGGACCCATCCATGAAGGCGGCGTGGGTCGACGACGCGCACTGTGAGAAGCTGCATCCCGAGATCGACCGGAGGGTGAGGCCGCGTCCCGCGTCCGACGAGGTGGTCAAGCTCATACGGGACCGCGTGGCCAAGTACTAGGCCCGGGCTGCAGAGCTTGCTCCCCGGCCGACCCCACTTGCCCCCGTTGCGGAGGATGAGGAGGGAGACGAGGTGGATGACGACGATGACGTGCAGTTTCTCTCTAGCCGCCGACGACTTGCGGCACGTCTGTCGGCGAGCCAGGAGGCAAGGGGGGGGGGTGGGATGGTTCAGGATGACGAGGTTAGCAGGTACTTGTCCGAGAGGGTGCGGTGCGACGTGACAGCGTTAGATTACTGGCGCACCGCCACCAACATGCAGACGCTGAGGCGCATGGCCCGGGATTATCTCGCCATCTCTGCCACGTCCGCTTTGAGCGAGCGGGTGTTCTCTCTTGGTCGCAACCTCATTTCTTGGAAGCGGCACAGGCTGGCCTCTCAGAGGACGCGAGTTGTCATGATTCTCAGATCATGGTACAGTTCACACCCAGGCCAGAGGATAGGCGAGGGCCGCCGACCGAGAGGCGTCGCACCACCAGAGTTCGCTATTGAGGGCTAGGGGGCGGAGGAGGACGAGGAGGAGGAGGAGGAGGGTGTGGAGGCTGACGGCGCAGCTGGTGGAGAGGATGCTGTTGTTGGTAGTAGCAGTGGCGCCTTGGCGTAGGAATTTGTTTGACATTGACATTTCCCTACACAGGACATGATGTTGTAGTTGTGGGTGCGTTGCATGAACACATATTCACTCTGCAAACCCTTTGCTATTATCATGAACCCTCAAATTCGCTTTCGGACCTGTGTGACTATATTGAATTTCCCCCTGGGCGAACACGAACATGTTCGCCACGAACGTGTTCGTGTTCGCCTTATGCAGCAATTTGTTCGCCTCCTAGGGCGAACGGCGAACACTTATTTTCGCCCAATTCGTTCGCCGAACCGAACACTGTTCGGTTCGGCAGAAGGCGATGTTCGTGAGGGGGCGAACACGAACATGTTCGAGTTCGTCCCCTGCTCATCCCTACACCAAGCACACGTGTCCCACCTATCACAAAATCCGCCAATAAAAAACCCACCTGCCACCAAACGCACCTGCCTCCACACCCACCTGTCCTGTCGAAATGGCAATCCTGTTCTTCCCCAAGCTCTCCGCTATCCTCTCTACAAGCAGACTCGCGAGGTCATCATTAAACACCGCATACTGCGGCGCAGTGAGCTTTAATTCCACCTCCAGCGGCGAGACGCACACACATGCGTTGGTCAGCGAGAGCAGCGGAGGGCTGGGCGCGTAGAGAGAGGGGCAGGAGAGGTTGTCGCAAATGGGAGGGGGCTGGTACTGCATGAAGCCGAGAGGAGGCGAGCAAGCGGCAGTGACTGCAGGGCGGTAGGGCACACACAGGTCGTTGCCGTATAGCCTGGAGGGAGGGGATGGAAGGAGGAAAAGAGGCTCACTGGTGACAAAGTGAGTGAGCGAGCCAGCAGGCGTACGGGTTGAGTATCTGAGGGTTGAGTCAAAACTCACTGCAGAGTGACGTTTTCGTTGCTGAGCAGAGCAGCAGGCGCACGGGTGTAGTGGTTGTCATGCGGTGAGCAAGCGAATGAGAGGATGGGTGAGAGAATGAGCGACCAGGTGTTTGTTGAAACTCACTGCAGAGTGACGTTTTCGTTGCTGAGCAGAGCAGCAGGGGCGCGGGTGAAATGGTTATCGAAGAGTGAGATGGTGGCGATGGCAGGGAGGGCGTCTAGCGGAGGCACGGGGCCCGTCAGGTTGTTGTCTGATAGCATGCTGGGAGGGGAGGGGTTGAGGAGAAGGAGAGAGGGGTTTGGAGGGGGAAGCAGGACACGGAACAAATAGAGGTTATCAAAGAGGGAGATGGTGGCGATGGCAGGGAGCATGTCTAGAGGAGGCACGCGGCCCGTCAGGTTGTTCTCTGATAGGATACTGAGTGAACGAAGAGAAGGGATAAGGTAGGAACGGGAGTACAAGGGGATTGAGCAACAGGCAACGGGGTAGCAGGAGAGGTGCAGCAGAAAAGGTGACAGCAGAAAAACAGAGCATGAGAGTGGCATATGAGAGAGAGGGTCTAACATGGAGTGGAATCGTGTGAGGTTGGCGGATGCGAGCATGGGAGCGAGGTTGCTGCTGCTGAGGTGTTCTCAGGTTGAAAGTGAGAGTAGTGAGAGCGGAATGGCGTATGGGATGGGATGAAATGAGAGAGAGGGTCTCACATGGAGTGGAGTCGTGTGAGGTTGGCTGAGGGCAGCCCGGGAGGGAGGGTGCTGCTGAGATGATTCAGAGCTGAGTGTGTGAGTACTAGTGAGAGTGGTATGGGTATGGGATGACAGAGAGGGTGTTGACTTACATGGAGTGGAGGCGTGTGAGGTTGGCTGCAGGCAGCCCACGAGGGAGGTTGCCGTTGAGATGATTCAAGGCGATATTGCTGCGACGCCCACAACAGGTGCATGCGGGGGAGGGGAGGGGAGGGGAGGGGAGGGGAGGGGAGGGGAGGGGAGGGGAGGGGAGGGAGGGGAGGGGAGGGAAGGGCGGGGAGGGAAGGGCGGGGAGGGAAGGGAGGGGAGGGGAGGGAGGGGAGGACGTGGGGGGATGGGGATGTGTTGACATGTGCAGCACTGCAGAGGCTTGGAGCATGCTGGCATGGGGATGGGGATGGGGATGGGGATGGGGATGTCTTGACATGTGCAGTATTACAGAGGCTTGGAGAATGCTCGACAGGCAAGGTGAGAGAGCTAAGGCAGGCAAACGGGGTGAGATGTGGTGCAATGCACGGTGCACTCACAGGGTTACCAGGTCAGGGTGCGTGGTGAAGAGAGCAAGGGGCAGGGGGCCTTGGAAGTTGTTTCGACTCAAATCCCTGAGAGGGGTGGAAGGGATACGAGAGGCAAGAGAGAGAGGGAGGCGGGGTGCATGGTGAAGAGAGCAAGGGCAGGGGGCCTTGGAAGTTGCTGCGACTCAAATCGCTGAAAGTGGCAAGCTGGCAAGTGGGGAGGGAGGAGGAGGGAAAGCAAGAGGGGATGCGAATGATTGCTGAGAGGGCTTTGGAAGTTTGTCAGTTGCGACTCAAATCGCTGGGACAGGTGGTTAGGTAGTAGAGGGGGCAGAGGGCGAGAGGAGGGGGGATAAGGTGCGGGGAGGGGGGAAAAGGTGCAGGGAAAGGGGGAAAAGGTGGGCGGGTGGGGGTGGGGGGGAGGGGGGGGGCGGGGGTTGCGAATGAGTATTGAAGAGGGAAATGGATAGGGAGCTATAAAAGGTGTTGGCAACTCAAATCGTGGAAGGGGTTCAAGGGAGAGGGAGGGTTTGACATAGGGACTAAAGAGCAGAACATGGTGACAAGCTCTGACTTTGAGTCCACTCAAAAGTCACCTCGAGAGGGTTTGACATTGGGACTAAAGAGCAGAACATGGTGACAAGCTCTGACTTTGAGTCCACTCAAAAGTCACCTCGAGAGGGTTTGACATTGGGACTAAAGAGCAGAACATGGTGACAAGCTCTGACTTTGAGTCCACTCAAAAGTCACCTCGAGAGGGTTTGACATTGGGACTAAAGAGCAGAACATGGTGACAAGCTCTGACTTTGAGTCCACTCAAAAGTCACCTCGAGAGGGTTTGACATTGGGACCAAAGAGCAGAACATGGTGACAAGTTCTGAGGAACCTCAAAGCTCGGTGGCAAAAAAGGGAAGAACAAGGTGGGAAAAGGGAGGAGCCATGCGTGAATGGATGTTGTTGTGAGTCAAACTGGTGAAAGGAGAGAGTGGAGGAGGGAGACGAAAGAGGGTTAGGGGCAGAGGGGGATGAAGAAAGGTATATGAAAAATGGTGTGATTTGAATCGCTGAGAAGAGTTGAAGAGGAAAGAGGAGAGAGGGCAGGAGGCAGAGGGGGGCGAATAAATGACTGTCCTAGAAACAAGGGCTCATAGGCTCATAGATATCAGATGCTGTCAGTAACGGACAGGTGGGCTGCGGAGGTCTTCTTTCCATCAACTTGAATGGTTCTTAGAACGACGGAACAAACCCCATAAAACAAGGGCTCGTAGACTCATAGATATCAGAGGATGAAGTGTGGAGAGATTGGGCGAGTTGACTTTTGAGTCGACTCAAAAAGTCAACTCGAGGGGGGCGGATAAATGACTGTTGAAGAAACAAGGGTTTTACAGACTCATGGATATCAGAGGATGAAGTGGGGAGAGATTAGGAGAGGGCGTACAGGTAGCAGAGTGATGGGAGGCCCGTCAAAGGCGGTAGTGGTTGGGGGGGCATGGAGCAATTGTGCATCGAGCTGCGAGATTGCAGGGAGGGGAGGGGGGGAAGGGATGCGGTGAGTGAGGGGGATGCGGTGAGTGAGGGGGATGCGTGGCTGCTGAGTTAGGGAAGGCAGTGGTTGGGGGACATGGAGCAGTTGTGCCTGGAGCTGCGTGTGTGTATGGAGGGGGGTGGTATGGAAACGGGGACAATGGTGAAGAGGTTTTGAGGCGTTTCAAAAAACAGTTGTGCAGGGTCGAGCATGTATGCATGGAGGAGCGGAGGAGGGGGGGGTGGTGCGGTGGTGATGGTGGGAGGTTGAGGAGCGGACACTTGGCGCTTTGTGATTGGAGCACTCACAGGTCTTGCAGAGCTGGAAGGTTGAGCGACGGAGGAAGCCGGCCCTGAATGGTGTTGTTGCTCAGATGGCTGCCACGTGGCACACAGTGATTGGAGGACGAGAGTGGCAAACAGGAAACAGAATCAGCTGTTTTTGTTGAACCCAAACAGGGCCACTCTGATTCACCATAAGAAGAAGCACGCATGTCACTAACAGCATTTTCAGCAGATTCCCGACAGGCAGAGCACAAGTCTCAAGGCATCCATAACGTGTTTTTATCATATGTGTTGGATATGTTTTTTGACAATTCTCAGAAAACGTGTTTTCATCATATGTGTGTTTACTGACCTGCAGCCTGCCCTCACATGACCTGCAGGCTGCTGGAGCCACTGACCCCTGCTGGAAAGGTTTTGAGACGTCTCATAACACTTCTTTTATCACGCCCTCACATGATCTGCAGGCTGGTAGAGCCACTGAGCCCCACCGGAAAGGTCTGGTTAAGGCGGTTGTTGTCCACCAGGCTGGTGGGGTGGGGGAGAAAAGGGGAAAGAGGAGTGCAAAGCGGTGAGAGGGATCTTGGGTGCTTCATCAGATGTAAGTTTTACCGAAAAAGTTTGGTTGATGCGGTGTGGTTAAAGCGGTTACTGTCCTCTCATGTCGTTCAGGCACCTTAGTTGCCCTCTCATTTCCCGCCCCGGATTTTCTTTCAGCCATGAAAAATTGCCTCATTGTCTTGCGGATTCTCTTAGGAGCTGAGAGAACGAGGCTTACAGGTGGATGAGTGTTGGCAGCCGTCCCAGTTCCTCTGGGAAATACGTTAGCTGGTTGCGACTCATGTGACTGGTGGGTGGCGGGGGAGGGGGCAAAGTCAGAGAAGGAGACAGGGGCAAGAGAGGTGGGAAGGCAGAAGGGAGTCAGGGTGAGGTTTGAAGCCGTCCCACCCAGTTCCCCTGAGACATAGGTTAGCTGGTTGCGACTCAGGTGACTGGTGGGGACATACAATCACCAGACAGGGAAAAGCAAGCAGCAGAGGCAGAAGAGGATTACGGAAGGCGTTGGGAGGGAGGCTTCTAGTCCAGGTGCCCTGGGAGGGGTGGTGGTAACTGGCTGTGATCGTGGTGACTGGCGGGGGGGACATACAATTACAAGACACGGAGAAGGAGGCAGCAGAGGCAGCGGAATCGAGGAGAAAGTGATGAGAGCTTGCCCGGAGAGGCAGAGAGAGGTAGAGAGAGGGTTTGGGGTTTAGGGAGAGCGAGGTAGAGCGAGGCAGGGAGAGGAGAACTGGGAACTGCTTGGATAGGGGGGGTACGCACAGGTGGCCAATGCTGGTACACGTGTCGAATCCTGGTTGGACGGGCACAGGCCCTGAGATGTTGTTGTCTGTGATGTCAAAGAACCAGAGGTCCGTTAGATTCGCCACCTGGAGTAGAGGAAGGGGAGGCGAAAGGGGAGAGGGGGGAATGGGAGGAGGGAAGGAGGGGAGGAGGGTAGCAAATGCGAGCAGATTTGATTTAACACTTCATTTGATTCTGTTTGTCTGTGAACTCAAATGACCAGCGGTCGCTTGGATTCGCCAACTGCGGCATGGGAAGGGAGGAAAGCAGGAAGGAGTGGTGGAGTGCATGGTTCTGTGCGGTGAAGTGTGGTACGTACCTGTCTGGGAATGCTGCCAGATAGCTGGTTGCTGTTGACAGCGAAAAAGTTGAGCTTCCTCAAAAGCCCGATGGTTGAAGGGATGGACCCCGACAGGTTGCACCCGTGCATGTCCCTGGTGGAATGCGGTTCATTGCGGTGGATCGAGATGGAGAGGGATAAAAGAGGATATACAAGAGGAAAATGTGAATAGGGGGTGGTGGGTGGACCCTGGCATTCCAAGTACATGCTTATCCCCGGTGGGTTTGATCCAGTGCATTGAAGTGCGGTGAAGTGCGGTGGAGCACGGTAGAGAGTAGGGAGAGGCAGACACATTGACATTGCGTGCAATGGAGAGGCGAAAGGGAGTGACTTGTTACAGGATATAATAACTCACAGCATAGAGAGGTCGGAAAGGGCGCTGATGGTGCTGTAGATGCTGCCTGTGAGGGCTGGGTTGAGAGAAATGTCCCTGTGAGGGGGGAGAGAGGGAGTGGGGAGAAAGGGGGAGAGGCCGGAAAGAGAACATCATAGGACTTCTATCTGGCGCCTCAGAGGCAGGAAAGGACGCTGATGGTGCTGTAGATGCTGCCTGTGAGGGCTGGGTTGAGAGAAATCTCCCTGTGAGGGGGGGGTGGGTAAATGGAGGAGTGGAGAGAGTTTGTGGGGGGTACGGGGATGAGGGACCGTCTGAGGCGCCCCAGAGTTCGGAAAGGGAGCTGATGGTGCTGTAGGTGCTGCCTGTGATGTGAGGGATGGGTTGCAACGTCCCACGAAATAAGCTTGTTACTGGGACGTCTTAACACAGACTTAGTTTCGGAGGCGACTGAAGAATAGATCAATTGAAGATAGTTGTTGCCTACAACTGGAGCAGCTAGTAACGGGTCATTAACTGCTCCTATACGTCCGTCAAAAGGAGTGTAAACGAGGCGCTCTATAAGGCGTACAGGCTTGTGAGTGCCGTGAGCTCGAAGAGAGCAGCAGGAAGCTGCCCGGAAAGTCCCAGCCCTTGCAGTGTCCTGCCAAATACGAATGGTGGGGGATGAGATTCGGGGGAGTGAGTAAGAGAGTGAGAAGGAAGTGCGAAGCAGAACGAGAGGCGGTTCAGGGAAGAAGGAGGGTGAGAACGGGGGGGAGGTGTGAGACGGAAGGGGGAAGCGGAAGGGTAGGTGGGAAGGAGAAAGAGGCAGGAGACAGAGATGTAACCGCTCACAGCAATGTAACTACATAGGGAGCAGCAGCAGCAGCAGCAACAGCACAGGGGTCGTCTTCACTCGCAAACATTCACACAGACCAATAACCACTCGCTCGCAACAAGGTGACCAATCACAAGGATGTAACCAATCACAAGGACATAACCAATCACGAGGACGAAACCACCCACGAGGAAGTAACCACTCACGAGGAAGTAACCACTCACGAGGACGTAACCACCCACAAGGACGTAACCACCCACAAGGACGTAACCACCCACAGCGCTGTAACCACATGGTTTCCCGAGCCGCTACCCACACAGTGACCACTCGCAGCAGCAGGGGGCAGCAGCGCAGGTTCGTTTCTACTCACGCACTCGCCTTACTGTAACAACATGGTTGCCGGAGCCATCACTCTCACAGGTGACCCCCGGCCAGCCCTTGCCGCTGGGATCAGCAGCAGCAGGAGCAACGGCAGCACAGGGGTCGTTTCCACTCACAGACACTCACCTTACTGTCACCAATAACAGCTCACAGCAATGTCATGAAACCACTCACAGCGCTGTAACAACATGGTTGCCCGAGCTGTCACTCTCACAGGTGACCCCCGGCCAGCCCTTGCTGCTGGGATCAGCAGCGGCAGCAGGACCAACGGCAGCACAGGGGTCGTTTCCAGACCAGGCGTGGAAGAAGGGGTTGGAGGAGGCAAGGGTCGATGCTACGGTGTGAAGAGCAGCCACTGGGAGAGGGGAACGGGAGGGGAGGAGATGGGGAGAGGAGGAAGCCTTTTCAGGCGTCTGAAGTGACGGCGGCAGCAGCAGCGGCAGTGGCAGCAGCGCAGGGGCCGTTTCCGGACCAGGCGTGGAAGAAGGGGTTGGAGGAGGGGAGGGCCGATGCTACGGTGTGAAGAGCGGCCGCTGGGAGGGGAAGGAGAGGGGGGAAGATTAGGACAGGGTGAAAGGGGAAGATGGGAAGAGGAGGCGAGGGATGATGCTATGGTGTGAAGAGCTGGCCACTGGGAGAGGGGAGAGGGGGAGACGGGAAGATGGGATGAGGGGGAAAGGGGACAAGGGGAAGAGGGGGAGAGGGGAAGATGGGGAGAGGGAAAGGGGGGGAGAAGGGAAGACGGGGAGAGGGGGGGAGGGTATCGATCGAAGAGAGGAGAACATAAGGGGGAGAGAGGAGGGGTTGATATGGCTCAGGAAGATTGAACAAGGGGGCCGGCCTCATCCCATCCCAGCCGTTGATTCACGAGCAGTTGAAGAACAGAGGAGCGAAGGGATGGAGCCATGATGGTGCGAGTTTAGCAGGAAGCGAGGACGGGCGGCACTGGGGGGGAGAAGCAGGAAGCGGAAGAGCGGAGGAGCGGAGGGATGGAGTCATGATGATGGTACGGACAGGCACTGGGAGGGAGGAAGTGGAAGAGGAAATCGAGCAATCTTTGATTCGACTCAAGAAACCGAGGAGCGAAGGGATGGGGCGAATATGGTGCTGATGCGGGCATTTTGAGGGAGGAACGGGAAGGAGGAAGCGAGGCGACCATAGTCGACTGAAAGAACGGAGGAGAAGGGGGGGTGGAGCCACGATAGTGTAACGGACGGGCATTGGGAGGGAGGAACACAGCAATTTCCTTGAAGGAAGCGAAGACGCAAAATGGGCGTCAGAAGGGCGATTCACACCCGTTTATCCGTTTGCATTTGGTAACAGATTTCTGGATAGTACGTCTCCGAAATCATCGCGTGACCGCTCATTACTTGCGGAAAAGAATGGGTTTTGCACCGGCACGAAGCGCGACGCGCACCGACGCGAGGTGGTCTGTCAGTACTACTGGTTTAAAAGCACGGAGAGGTTTTACCTTGAGCTGGGTCCGTCGCAGCTTTAACGGTTTCGCGTGTCCCGAGACTGAAAATAGTAGCGCCCAGTAAGACGATTTGAGCGGAACAGATTATGCTGAGTCGTCTTCGGGGAGACTTTCGATTGGCGAGCGACGCGACGCGGTCCATGATAATGATGTTCTTGACGGATAATATTTTGTCGATATCTCGGAAGGAAATCGCGATAAATGCGGAACGTATTTGGTCGGGTAAGACGTGATGCGTATTACGGATGATAGCAATAATGCTAAAATGGATCAAGATGATGCTTCAGCTAGAAACACGACGCAACGCAACCACTGCAACCTTGGGAGTTCCAGCTAGAGAGAAGTGTTATGGACAAGTTGTGGCAGCTAAAAAAAATGACATTATTCGCCTCGTCCAAACGTCGTTAGGATCCTTCGTGGTGCTCTTCTTCTAACAATATGGGGAAAAGGTACACAATACGACTGTGAGACTCAGACGCGGAAAGGCCGGAACACGGGACGAGCCCTTAGTCTGAATCAGTCCAATTCGGTCTGAAGGCCACTGGAACGAAACCTAGGACGTTGTAGATAGCGACCCTCTTAGTAAATAACTCCAGCTTGAGCAAAAGCAGAGTTTTTTTGTAGTTTACTAAGCGCGACGGGCTAGGACTGTCCACTGCTCACGGATTAGTGTGATTATACATCTGCATTTTTTTTTTCCATGCGGTTGAGTGCGATTGTATGCAGGGCAACGTCGCTGAACTGAAACCTTCTTGGTTTTGTCAACTTGATGCTTTGGTTCGGGAAGATATCGGGCGAATCCCTCCGGGAACCCGCTTTTGCCCCTGCGGGATTTTTCCGGAGGGATTTCGGTTTTCCCGCAGTCGCCTAGCGGCGCACGCGAGGGGCGGGAGCCGACCCCCCCGCCCGCCCGAAAACGACCCCCGCCAGCTCGGAGTGACGCGAGCTGGTCCCCCCCGCTCGAGCTGGCGTTGACCCCACCTGCTCCCCCCTCGCCTCCTTTTCTCGTCGAGGAAATCCGTCCCCGTCGACGGATTGCGTCTCTACTCGACGGAAAGTGAAACGGGAAACGCAAGGGCTGAAACGCGCCATTGCGTAATTCACTACGGAACAGCGCTGCCGCAGAAATAAAAACGTGTGTGTGAAAATGAAAACTTAAACAGCAATGGACAAACTTAATGAAAAATTGGAGTCCTTGTGAAAGTGGGCAGACCCTCCAATGAAAAAATCAATAGCCCTATCAACGTATTCTCATCACTTCTACAGCAACATATTTTCATATTTGAATTGCAACTTTGTAAAATGGATCGTAGTTTCAAACATTATCAATACATCTGGTACAATTGGACTATGCTCCCAACTGCACACGCACATGACAATAGCGCATACGCGCACCCACTTTGCAGGTGCCTGTAGGCGGTCGAGCACGTGCTGACAGTTGTGCCAGATGCTTCGCGTCGACCTCAGGATACCTTGTTGCAGGTCGACTTCGTCAATGTTCCTGACGGCGAAGCTCGCACAACCGACAGGCTTCGCCGTCGAGCATCTCTTCTTCAATGGACCTGTCGAACAGTGCCTCTCGACGGGCTCGTCGACCATTGTCGTCGACCATCGCTGCTCGTTGGCGCTACATCCGGGATCCCGTCGAGCAGCACTTCTGCTCGACCGCATCTCCCGTCAACCAGTACCCCTCGACGGGCTCGTCGACCACCAGGTCGAAGTAGACCGTCGACCTCCCTCGTCGACGGCTTCACAGCGGCCCCTGCAGTTCGACCAACTCCGACGACCTGCATGCCGAAGTCGGCTGCGGAGATTCACTCTACAAGGTAGTGAGCTAGACTACGGGGGGAAGGGGGGGGGGGGGGGGAGGAGGGGGTGTCAGAATATTATGCTCTAGCCTGTAGTGGGGTGCTCTATAGCGGGTACAACCCTTCTAGGGTTTGCTATTTGTATCCCCATTCTTGCTAGTGCAACCCCCCTTTTCTGCTCTTCTTTCTTCTAAACTTTATGATGCTATCAGAGCAGGTCGATCCTCTTGGATCGATCCTGTGGGTGGACTTTCCACCTCCTCGCTTCCGCTGCAACTACCTTTCACTACTCGCTGAGCCGCACGCCCCCTGGCGTGCGGCACTTTTTCTTCCCGCCGTGCGCCCCGAGGCGCGCGGCGGTTTTCTGCCCGCCGTGCGCCCCGAGGCGCGCGGCGGTTCTCTGCCCGCTGTGCGCCCCGAGGCGCGCGGCGGGCTTATGCCCCGTCGTTCGCCGCGTCGCCCTCTGGTGGCGTCGCGACGGGCGACGGGGACCCGTCGCGACGGGCGACGGGGACCCGTCGCGGCGCACCGCCCCCGGCCCCGGCCCCGTCCCCGCCTGCGGCCCCGGCCCCGACGCCCCGCGTACGCCCCGGCCCCGTCCCCGCCTGCGGCCCCGGCCCCGACGCCCCGCGTACGCCCCGGCCCCGTCCCCACCTGCGGCCCCGGCCCCGACGCCCCGCGTACGCCCCGGCCCCGTCCCCGCCTGCGGCCCCGGCCCCGACGCCCCGCGTGCGCCCCGGCCCCGGCCCCGGCCCCGCCTGCGGCCCCGGCCCCGGCCCCGGCCCCGCCTCCCCCCCCCCCCCCCCCCCCCCCCTCCCCCTCCTTCGGGAATCCCCTTTTCCCGTCGCCTGTCGAGGCGACCGGAGGGGGCCGCGTGTATGGGGGTGGCGGGTGTGTGGTATCCCCTGCTCCTCCTCCTCCTCCGTCTCCCACTGCTGCAGCTGCCGCTGAGGGGGGTGGGTGTGTGGGAGCCGATGGAGTGGTGCTAGGGGGTGGTTGTGTGGGAGACTGGGGTTTAGGGTTTAAGGGGGGTGCGTGGGAGTGGAGCTAGCGGTGTAGCAGCGGGTGTGTGTCGGGGGGGGTGAGACCGTTTGGGGAAGCTGCATGGAGGTTGCCGTCGTGTCGCCAGCAGCACCTGTATTCCGGGGACTTCGTCCGGTAGCCCAGTCGTAGCCAGCTGTGCCAGCCGCCCGTGGGTCCGTTGCTCGTCTGCCGCTACTTTAGCCGCGGGGCCTGTTACTCCTGTAGTCCGGGCGCTTAGTCCGGTAGCCGCTGTGCCAGTCTGCCTCCTGTTGCCCGTGTGTCTGCAGCTTCAGCCGTCGCCTCCTATCTCCTCTCCTCTCACTCTCTCTCCTCCTCCTCACTTGCCCGTTGTGACTACCACTAGCTTTGCTCATAATTGTTAACTCTAAACTATTGCTTCTTGAACTTGTGCTCAGAATGTGTGGTGACATTGTGATCCACCCTGAGCTTGTCCTGCTTTGCTTGCTCTGCTGATTACACCCCACTTTGGCTATGGGGGTGTGTCAGAATATTATGCTCTAGCCTGTAGTGGGGTGCTCTATAGCGAGTACAACCCTTCTAGGGTTTGCTAGACTGTGAGATCCCCGATCGATCCTAGGGGGGGTTACAGGCGCGTTTGCCTGGGGGGTTATGGGCGCACTGACCCGCTACTGAAACAAGCCCTTTTATCCCAGTGGTCTAGTGGTTGGGATTCTGACATGGTATCAGAGAGGTCTCGGGTTCGAATCCCGGTGTATGCACATGTAGGCCGTTGCCACTGTGCTCAGTCCTGGGCCTCCCAGTGTGGGGGGGTGTCAGTAGAGCTGCACTGTGAGATCCCCGATCGATCCTAGGGGGGGTTACAGGCGCGTTTGCCTGGGGGGTTATGGGCGCACTGACCCGCTACTGAAACAAGCCCTTTTATCCCAGTGGTCTAGTGGTTGGGATTCTGACAGGGGGGGCACGAACTACTGAGAGTGATCGTAGCTTTGTTTAGTTCCTTGGCGCTTGCACATCCACGGGAGAAATCGGCAAGAGTTTTACTAGGCAAATATTGCATTACAGAATGAATGAACAAGCAATGACAACAATGACTACATCAGGCACCTAGCTACTCTGCAGGGTGATTGGTGTAAGGGACTCGCCGACTCTTCCGAACCGGGCGCGTGACGTGATGCTCCGGGTCCACAGCCGAAACCTGCAAGTGGGGGAGCGTCTGCATTTCTTGGGCGCTGGCGTCGCTTGCCCGCATTGTGGGGAAAAGGAAACACTGGAACATAGGCTGCTCCTTTGCCCGCGCATCCAGCCTGTGATTCGTGCGCTTCTGAAGGCGCTCCGCATGATGAATCCGGGTCGGAAGATTGAGTCCTCGGGGGACCTGCTCTTCAAGCGGGAGGGGACAGCTTCGGGGTTTCCCGAGACTACGATCACGTCTATTGCACTCCATCGGATCTGGGTGGAATAGTGTGATGCGGTTTTCGAGCGAAGTACATTCCGGGCAAGAAGGGTGCTACGGAGGATAGCGGCGACCTTTCAGCTACATGTCAGAATTTACAAGC